GTAAACCTGAATCTCCAATCTTTCAGTTAGCAGCTGAGTGCATTAACCTCTACAGTACCCAGGGACTCCAGTTATTTAATTTTCTTGTTAGTTGCCACTGACTTGATTTAACTGATAGCAACCCCTAAAATAGGATACTCGATTACTAAAATATTTACATGTAATGTAATGTAAAAGGAGCCCTGGTGGCACAGTGGCTTACTGCTCAACTGCTAACCAAAAGGTCACCAGTTCGAACTCACTGGCTGCTCCACAGGAGAAAGATACGTAGTCTGCTTCTGTAAAGATAGGAATGGCAGTTCTACTATGTCCTATACAATTGCTATTAGCTGGAATCAACTTGATAGCAATGGGTTGGTTTTTTTGTTTTTTTTTTTTTCATGTAATTTAAACAAATTTTATTTTTTCTAATCAGGAAAACCCACCATATTCTTGAAGACTAAGTTATCTTTCACTCATCCTAAGCCTCACTCACCCTAAGCCAAACAATTTTAGTTCCCTCACATTTTTTCTGTATAGGTCCAAAATTCTATTTTTCAATGTTGTTCATCATTTTCTGAATTTCTCCTCAGAGTTGAAGCTCATGACAAAAAATGACACTATGAGGTTTCGTCTTTACTCTGACACAGATCAGTGTCACTTTCTACTTCACCTTTTAACAGATGTTAACTCTTCTTGCATCTGCTTTCACTTACTTCTTACTATAAAGTCTAGTGGCACACATACCATAAAGTTTGTTATTCTTTATTTCGGACATGAGTAACTTAATTTTGCAACTAGACAAGCAGTTTGCAAATAAAAATCATTCACTGTTTAAAAATAAACAGAAAATCTAGCATTCACCCAGAATCAAATAATCTTAATATGTGCCTAGGAATTAAGAGGAAGGTTGGGCAATCCTACTTCCGTAGTGATACTGCCTCGGAAACCCAAGGAGGGGTCGCTATGAGTCGGGGCCGACTCTACGGCAAATAACAACAACAACAAGAACAAGGAATTAAGAGTTACCAGAGTACAAGACAGCACTTATCTGAAAAGCATTTATTCTTTTAAATTCATTAAACTATAACTTTAAACATCTGTATTAAACATTCAAGAATAAACATGCTAAATCTATCATTTTTTTCCCCTCAGTAGCCCAATCTCTCTGGGATGGTGATAGACACTTACCAAGACAATGTTCCATTTACATATGGCCCATTTCAGCTATATAAAAACAGACAGGATTTACCCAAATACTCAGTTAAATAAGAAATGTAACATTTTATTGAGTTCCAAAATGTAAGCCCTAGTGAAAACTAAATTAGTAAACATTTTTAGCAGTGTTGAGATCACAAGTACATTGTCAAATATGTACTCATCAAATTATGCTCATTCAAACTCTAAATCAAACGTGTTACACTGGGCTCATGGCACAATGGTTAAAACACTCAGCTGCTAACCACAAAAGTCTGTGGTTTGCCTCACTACACAAAGACATTGTTCCACATCCTACTTATGCGAGTAGCAACTGGAATCTTAAAACCTTGCAAGGGGCCATCTAGTTGCAACAATGGGTCTCTCCTCATCCAGAGCAAAGAGGGTAGAAAACCAAAGATACATGGAAACAAGTAGTCCAACTGACTGGTACACCATGCAATCCTCAGCTTATAAGACTATGAGACCAGAAGAACCAGATGGTGCCCGGCTACCACTGTCAACCACTGGAAGGGGGATCCGTGTAGGAGATCCTGGATAGAGTGGGAGAACAATGTGGAACAAAACTCAAAATCATTTAAAAAAAAAAAAAAGAGGGAACAGGTTTGCTGGTCTGATGGAGCCTGATGGAACCACTGAGACTATGGCCCCTAGGTGCCCTTCAGGTGTGGTACTGAACCTGCTCCTGTAGCTTCCAGCCAAACAAAAGACAGGCATATGACCTGAACACTTATATTAGGTAGATAACTCCTTGAAGAGTTCAATCATGGGAGAATAGAACTGCCGTGTATGCACAGGAAGACAGCTGGGGGCGGGTGGGCGGCAAGAGTGCATGGGAAGGAAGGACACAGGGAAGAGGTAACTATGGGGTGGAAGTGAGAGGGGAGCTGTTGCACTGTGGGAAATTATAGTCAATGTCATGAGATAAAGTGTATGTGAGCTGTTGTACGGAAAGTGAATTTGCTATGCATACTTTTACCTAAATCACTATAAAAATTAAAAAAAAAAAAAAAAGTTGGTGATTCGAAACTACTAGCAACTCCACAGGAAAAAGATGCAGCAGTCTGCTTCTGCAAAGATTTACAGCCTTGGAAATCCTATGGGACAGTTCTACTCTGTCCCACAGAGTTGTTATGAATTGGAATTGACTCCACAGGAGTGGGTTTTTGGTTTTATACCAAAAGCACAACAAGATTAACCATAAACAATAATCCAAATTTTAATTTGCATATTTATATTTTAAGGAAATCCACATTTATCTTTTTATGTGGGACGGTTAAGTTAGATAAGTTAAGAATTTAAAAATGTTCTTTAACATGCATACAGAGCAAGGAATGATTGATCTTTAAATATCCATAGGCAAAGGTAAGCACAGGTATCCTAGGAAATGCCCAATTTCTCCACAGAAATAAACATCAGGAACACTCCAATGTGAATAACAATGATTATTAAGTCATTCAAAGGTCATATTTTGTGCTGTAATGCAACAAGTATATGTTGACACTCTTAGGTATTTTTATCATATAAATATAGTATGCAGCCCAGAAAGTAGGAAAACAGTACGAAGACTCAGATCAAAATATTTAAATTCAATTCCACACCCTCCTACCTTACTTGAAAATGATTCTAGTCCCACAGTATTTTATTAGGACATAACTAAAAATTTAATGCTTTTTCCTAAGTATCAAATCTTTTTTGAGTGTATAATTCACTCAAGGTAAAACCGTTATAATGAAATTATTGTCCATTTCATAGATGAAAACACTGAAGTGCAATGATATAAATTAACTTTCCCCTAAGTTATACTGCAAGTTAACTAGTGGAGCTGTGATATAACTCAAGTCTAAATCCTATGTTCGTTCCATTAGGTCATATTAAAGTACAGTCATTGGCAGCATAATGTCCATCCAAGCAGTGTCTGACCATGTATATGTCCATGGTCCCATAATGTTATAATAGAGTTCAGAAATCCAGATTCCACAGGACGTAGTGAACATAACAGCTCCCCTCACACAACACGTGCATCTCATGTCTCTTATATATAAAGCAACTGCACCACCAAGCATATATAACCTATAACATATATGTCTTGATAGTCAGGATAAACGCCTATGTTCCTGGCTTATGTATGTACTGTACCATATTTTCTATCTAAAAAGCTTACCATATAATAATGTATATTTCTACTTGTAGGCAGTGGCATCCGATCTCGTGAATCATGTGTTGTAGTGTTATCTCTCTGTTTAATTTTCTTTTGAAAATATTACTGGGAAGTGCATTACAGCTTTCAAATGCGACAAAACCAGTGCTAGTGATAGCAGCAGCAAGAGGCAATAAAGTACGGATTTGGAAGTAAAGCAAAAAGTTATCAAACAGTATAAAGGTAGAAAATCAGAGAATACTACTGGTCTATTATTTAGGCATGTCACATTCCACAATCAGAAGATTCTCAAAAAGAAACAATTCTCCAATGTGTTAAAAGATCTGCTCCACTGAAAGCTACAAGTTTAGAGCAGGACCTGTATCAGATATGGAGAAATTGCTAACTCCATGGATTAAGAACCAAACACAAAAGCAAATCCCTCAGTCAGTTGATCGTCAATGCTAAGGCTTGTTCAAGATATTTAAAGGACCAGAGTAGGAAACAGTGTTCAAACAGCATTCAAATCACATAACATCCTACTTCATGTAACATACTATGGCTGTTAAAGCAATGCGTGATTGTATATTTAAAAAAATACTTTGTAAATTATGTATCATTATTATGGTGAAAGTGAGAAATGAATTTTTTTTTTACCATAATAAAGAGGCAAACAATGTAATATATTCCTTACCTTTTTCAGTAAATGTAGGAATAGTTTTATTTCAAATATACATAGCTGTATCATACACTAGGCTTACTTGATTTCACCTTCCTTCCCAAAAAGTAGTTTGTCTTTACGTCACAAATTCACATTTCAATTATTCCGGAAGTCATTTGATAAAGCCAACAAGTATTAAAATCTCCATATACTCCTATTCAGTATTTAAGTGTACATCTTTTGATATATTATTAGTTTCCACATTAGCAAGTTACTTAAATCAAATGGACTTATCTACTTTTTGCAGGCCTACGTTATCCTTGAAACAGGAGGGAAGGGCTGCACTTTAAGTGAAACGCTGCCGGCTTTTATCAAGCCTCTGCCACAGCACAAGACCACGTGGTATCTCTCATAAGCCTAAGTAAGGTTCCCTACTCCTCTCCGCTTTTTGACAAGGAACTGCAAACTAGGGTTTCTTTCTCTTAAGTGGCGCCCTGACACATGCCACCTGTGTAGTACGGACCACAAACATCCTGCAGCCTTCCTCCCGGAAGAACACTAGAAACAGAGTAAGACGGAACTTAGATGCCGACAATGCCGGGAAAGGAAATGACTGGAGAAGTAAAGCGGGTGAGATTGTAATAAGCCGAGAAACCTGGACCTGTCAAATACACTAGGACTCAAGCCGAACGACTATAACCTACGGTTCGGGAAGGCCTGAAGTGGGAGCGGCATTACGGAAGAAGGACCAACAGAACTGCATGCCGCCGCCGCCGATCCCTACAAACCTCTCAGCAAGCTCCGACAGGCCACGAACCCTAACCCTCATCTCCAGTCCAACCTTTGCCCCAACATTCCTGCAGCAGCCAAATCCTACTGCCCAGGGCGGCAGCCGCTGGACCTGCCCGCACCTGTCACTAGTGAAAGACACCAACCTGCAGTTCTCTCCCAGTTCCCCACCATCCCTGGGAAACCGCGGGCACCTCAACCCCTTTCCCTCACCAGGTGTCCCCTTTCCGGAGCGAGGTTTTGAGCAGCGTCGCGATGTCAGACCGCTGGGTGTCCAGATCCGCCGCTCCGCCTTCCGCCATCTTCTTCCACTAGCGGTAGCGGAGGCGGCGGCAGCGACGGCGGCGGCACGCCCCAGAGCATTGTGGGAAGGCGTACCACGGCCCTGCCCATCCGCCAGGTCGAAACCAAAATGGATGGGATGAGGGGGATTTGCACCTCCGGACAAGAAGCAGTCCCAAGGAGGACCGTGGTCTACTGGTCTTCATCGGTCCCCACCTTTCCAGCATTTCGCGCCGGCCACGGCTTCCTCTGGCCTCGGACCGCTGGTTTTCCTCCGACATGGGGGTTTGGGCTCTCTCTCTTTCTCGGGTGTGCTTCGGCCCGGTCTCTCCTCGGCTTCTGCCTTCCCCTCCCGCTTTCCCACAGACGCCTGAAAACCCTTATTTGCGCATTCACTCACGCTTGAGGCTGGAGTGGGGACGGGGGCGTGGGGATGGCCAAGATATGGCAGATAATTTTAAGGTGCTCTGTAACTCTTGTCTTTTCATTACGAGTCGTTGAACCCACGCTCAGTGAATGTTGGCCCAAGCAAAACAACCCGAAACCGAACGTTAGGCTGCAGTGCCCGCCCTGGGCGACCCTTTCAGCACTCTTACTCCTGATATAGGTGGGGACCTTTTATAGGCTCTTTGTGACGCCTCCCCAGGCACACCCAAACAGCTAAGCTGCAGTGAAAAACATGTTCCAGTTCTCTGTGAACAGGGCGTAAAATATGTAGTGAGTTATGCCAGGTGATAAAGGGAGGAAACTCCCCTCCTCTTCCCATGATATGTATACATGAAGTATAACTACATAGTAATTATAGTTAGCTATTATTTGAAGCCAACAATTATGTAAAAATTAGGGAGTTGAGTCTTTCAAAAAACCAAGAGTCTTGGCCAAGGTCACACAGCCCATAAGTGGAGAGAGAAGTTTACAACTCAGGTTCCAAAGCCCATGTGCTTTCCACAATGGTACATTCACTACTTCTCCTTGAAAGCCTAAACTAAAATGTCAACTCCGCGGAAGTTGGAACTGGGTCCATCTTTGTAACCTCTATGCCTGGTGGAAGGGAGCTCTGGTAGCATAGTGGCTAAGACACTTGTCTGCTAACCAGACGGCTGGCAGTTCAAACCCACCAGCCACTCCTCGGAAGGAAGGTTGGGCAATTCTACTTCCGTAGTGATACTGCCTCGGAAACCCAAGGAGGGGTCGCTATGAGTCGGGGCCGACTTGACGGCACATAACAACAACAACAACAATGCCTGGTGGAAAAGCCAACCAAATAATGTGTTTTAAAAAATTAGTTTTGGCAAAACTGTTCATTTCCAAGAGTAAAGATACCAGAGATTTGGTGTTACAATACAAAATGATGTGAAGAGTCTAAAAGACAGGAAAACATTCCCACACGCTTTCTTATAGGCTTTTAATGCCTATTCTAACTCATTTGGTGGGAATGCAATAAAGATGAATGTATTTATGCCAATAAGATGTGCTGAACCCTTCCAAGTGAAAGTAGTGTATATTGACGTAATTTGTGTGTATCAGCATTGTAATTGCTTAATTTGTGCATAATAATACTATTTTGCACGATCAAGTTATCCCTGATTTGAGAGTCTGAAAACAACTTCCCATCATTGCTATTTCTTACATTACTTGGCTTTTCTTCCAGAGTTTCTCTAACCATGGGTACCCTCAAATGGTCACAATTTTCCCCTTTTCAACCCAACCTCTAAAAGAGAACTAATTTTTCAGAGAAGCAGTACAGTGTGGAAGGAATATTTTGGAGTCACAGGGACCTGAATTCTAACCTCACTTCAGCCTATAGCTGCAGAGTATTTAACCCTTCAGTTTAATCACAGAATTTGAGATACTAATACCCACCTTGGAGTCCCTGGGTAGGGAAAATGGTGAACACACTTGGCTGCTAACTGAAAGGTTGGAAGTTTGAGTACACCCAGAGGCACCTCAGAAGAAAGCCTTGTTAATGTACTTACAAAACAATCAGCCATTGATAGAGTGCAGTTCTACTCTGGTGAACGAGGGTCATTATGAATGAAAATTAGCTCAAAGGCATTGGGTTTGGTTTTTTCGGTTTGTTTATTCAGTATCAAGCACTGTCCTAAATTTTACAACTTACAATTTTAATTTTTTAAGTTTAACTCAATACTCAGAGCAACACTAAAGGGCAAATAATTATTATCCACATTATGTATATATGAGGAATTAAGAGAGTGGTAGAACCCAAATTTGAACTTGAGCAGTTGAGCTCCAGAACCTAGAAAGATTAGGTAAGTTTGTATTTTTCTACCAATCTTTATGATTTAATTTATAGTAATCGACATTTTAGTGATCCCAGTTTACTAATTTATGAAAATTCTACTTATTTTATTTAAGATTTTTCTACTCTCAAAGATAATTATGAAGAGAAATAACAATGTTCTTAATACTAAGTTAGTTAAGGTCCATGTCTTACTGAGTAGCTGAGTAGACAGTTTATGAGGAAAGCTACTTTGCCTTGAATCATACGGACAATTGGGTATAAATTGAGGATACATCTGATTATTTAGATTTATACCCAGTTAACTGATTCAAGGCAAAGTAGCTTTTCTCACAGATTTGGAAGACAGCTACCTTGACAACCAACTGGAAAGAATCCATATCTGTGCTCATTCCAAAGAAAAGTTTTCCAAAAGAATGAGGAAATTTTCAAACACTATCATTAATATCACATGCAAGAAAAAATTTGCTGAACAACATTAAAAAATGGTTGCTGCAGTACATTGACAGGGAATTGCCAGAAATTCAAACTGGATTCAGAAGAGGACATAAAACAGGGGATATCATTGCTGACGTCAGATAGATCTTGGCTAACAACAGAGAATACCAGAAAGATGTTTACCTGTGTTGTGTTGACTATGCAAAGACATTCAACTCTGTGGATCATAAGAAATTATGCATAAAATTGTGAAGAATGGGAATTCCAGAATACTTAATCATGCTCATGTAGAACTTGTGCATAGACCAAGAGGCAGTTGTTTGAACAGAACAAGGGGATACTGAATGGTTTAAAATCAGGAAAGGTATGCATCAAGGTTGTATCCTTTCACCATACGTATTTAATCTTTATGCTGAGCAAATAATTTGAGAACCTGGACTATATGAAGTAGAACATAGCATCAGGATTTAAGGAAGACTTGTTAACAACCTGTGACACACAGATGACACAACCTTGTTTGATGAAAGCAAAGAAGAATTAAATCACTTACAGAAGAAGATCAAAGACTACTGTGATTTGCAGCTCAACATCAAGAAAATAAAAGTCTCACAACTGGACCAATAAGCAGTATCATGATAAAGAAAGAAAAGACTGACATCATCAAGAATAGTATTTGACTTGGACCCATAATTAATGCCCATGGAAGCAGAAGACAAGAAATAATATGACTTATTGCATTGGGAAAATCTACTGCAAAAGGTTTCTTTAAAGTGTTCAAAAGCAAAGATGTCACTTTGAAGAGTAACTGACATATTTTCAGTCGTCTCATATGCATGCAAAAGCTAGACAATGAATAAGGAAGACTGGAGAAGCATCGATGCCTTTGAATTATCGTGTTGGCAAAGAATAATGAAAGTACCATTTGTTTGGTGATTGTAATGCCTTCTTAGACCCTCTGCACTTTTCTTGTTCATTGAAAAGTTAAGGCATTGAGGGGTTCCAGTAAGATGGTGGAATAAGCAGACAAGCTACACGGACCCTCTTCAACAAAGGGGAACCAATTAATACAGATACATAAGGTAATCCTGGAGGCCTGAGCTTTGAAAGGAAGGATACAGAAGTGGACTAAAGTCCAATTAGTAGAGCAACCTGCCTGAAAACACTGAAAAAGGAGACATATGGAGCTGTGGTCTGTCAGTGGTCCTGACAGCACAGACAGCTTGGATATTGCCAAGTGGTGTTAGGACCTAAGAATTAGCCTAAAAATTAACCAGGGGCTGCATAGAGGACTGAACTGGTGGCTGGTGAATAAAAGGGGAAGCAGCAAAGAGGGAGATGGGCTGAGCTGTGGAGTTTAGCCTGTCTGGAAGGTGCAGCCATTTTGAATGTTTACAAGTGCTTTGACAATTTTGGATATTTAAAGCGGCAGGGTTCACTCTAATTCCAGGGACCATAGAATAGGCTCCACTTGCCAGGAACCATGAGGACATTCCAGACACAAAGAACTGGAAAGTTAGCAAAGATCTAAATAAAACAATGTCACTATGTGTCAGAGACAACAGACCATCACAATCCACACGAAGAAGTAAGATAAAGCAGTAGAAATGAGGGACCAGGATACAGACCCAAAACACATCCCTGATGAAGAAGTAGCATTGGAACTCCCTGATGAGGAATTCAAAAGAATTATATTTAGGTACCTTCAAAGGACTGAGAGACAGATCAAGGAAAATACTAACAAAATTAAGGAAAACACAGACAAAACCCTAGAACGATTTTAGAGGGAAATACAAGACTAAAATGACAAAATAAATGAAAAATTAGAAATGATACAAAATCTACAGATGGAAATCCAGAAAGTTAATACTAAATTTTCAGAAACAGATAACACATTGAAAGGGCAGAGGAGTACAATCTAATCAATGGAAGATGGAATTAATGAGATTGAAGACAAATACCTGACTACTTCTTTGGAAAGGAATCAATCAGAAAAAGGATCAAAACAAAATGAAGAAAGCCTAAGGTTCATGTGGAATACCATCAAAAGGAATAACCTACATGTAATCGGAATTCCAGAACAGGAAGAGAAAAAGAAAACCACTGAGAAAATTGTCCAAGATTTGTTGGAGGAGAACTTCCCTGAAATGATGAAAGATGGGAATATATCCATTCAGGAAGTCCAATGAATCCCAAACAGGATAGACCCCAAAATAAAATCACCAAGACATATCATCATCAAACTCACTAAAACCAAAGACAAAGAAGGAATCCTGAAAGCAGCATGGGAAAAACAAAAAGTTACCTACAAAGGACAACTAATAA